GTCACTTTTGATTGAAAGTGAAAAGAAAACGACCATGGGACAATAAACAAAACACAGTAATTGTTTCAGTGTTTACTGACTTCTTAGAAAGTTCATTTTTAGAACTGCTCATGACTTGGAACGGCAGAAAACCCCAGCAGGTCCCCTGAGGTCACGATTGTTTCACCACCAATTTCAGGCCCTGTGAAATCTTTGACCTTGATCTCGTAAGCCACGTTGGCTTAATAGATGAAAAGTGAATGTGTTGCTCATTCTAACCATCCACGCTGGCAATTAACTGGTTTAGTGTTATGGAATTAACTTTAGAAGAAGCGCAGTCTACAAAAATAAAATGGAAAAATGCCGCAATACAAGTGCAAATAAGCAAGCAGAAAATGATTTATCAGTAAAGGAACTATGATGGCTTTAGGTAAATTTTTTTTTTTTTCATTCTATGTGTTTTTAAACTGATTAACTCAGTTGAAAGCTCATAAGAGTCTAACCAGGGGCGGACTGACCATTTGCAAACTCGGGCAGTGCCCGAGGGCCCGGGGTCAGTACGGGGCCCCATGAGATGCCCCTGGTACCTTTTTCATAGGCTTTTTTGAGTTTGGGCAAAGATATAGGGTCCCCATGATCCCCTATTGCCCGGGGGCCCCATGAGTTGTCAGTCCACCTCTGAATCTAACAATTCCTTGTCCCGGGTGCCAGTCTATGAAGCCAGTTTTTTTATGCATGAAGGTAAAAAATCTTTGGCGTTCAGCTCCCCCCCAGCAACCCACTTTCAATACTTACCTGAGCCCCACTGTGATCCAGCGATGTGCACAAGAGCCTCGGCTCTCCGGGAACTCTATCATTTGGATATTCCGATGGCTCCACCTCCATCCAACCATAACACAATAAGTAGATATCATATTTTTTTCACTTTTATCTGTAGCGCTACCCTCTAGAAGGCTGCTCTGTTTCTCGATCCCTCTAAATTTCTCACAGCCAGGCAACGCTCATTTTCCACACTTGCATCCACAGTCAGCGAGTTTGGTTTTTGTTATTTCATTGGGGGATGTAACTTGGATAGGGTAATATTTATGGGTTATTCTCACCACTTTACCAGGGCCTAAAAACCTGGGATTGGTTAAACTCCCATAAACATTCAGTTTGATTTCCACCCGCTGGCTTCTGGAAGGTTCCATGGTCCTCCAGAACGAGGTGGAGGCGATAGAGTTCCCAACATGTTAAGCCATTCAGTTTGACCTTCAGTACCCCAACCTTAATCACAGACTCACACAGTTACCATGAGTCCTACACAATAGATTTACCTACGCTACTCTAGTAGCACACTAGAGGTTGCTTTATATACCTTTCTGTATTTATTGCAATATGTTACCATTTCATATGTAGTGCATTTTTATAATGTCTGGGTGAACGGTGTGTATGGGCATCTGCTGTCTGGGTGTACGGTGTGTATGGGCATCTGCTGTCTTGGTGTATGATATGTATGGGCATCTGCTATCTGGGTGTACGGTGTGTATGGGCATCTGCTATCTGGGTGTACAGTGTGTATTGGGGGACACCACAACCCAGATGGGGTGTACGGTGTGTATGAGCATCTGCTGTCTTGGTGTACGGTATGTATGGGCATCTGCTATCTGAGTGTACGGTGTGTATGGACATCTGCTATCTGGGTGTACGGTGTGTATGGAGGGACACCACAACCTAGACGGGGTGTACGGTGTGTATGAGCATCTGCTGTCTTGGTGTACGGTATGTATGGGCATCTGCTATCTGAGTGTACGGTGTGTATGGGCATCTGCTATCTGGGTGTACGGTGTGTATGGAGGGACACCACAACCTAGACGGGGTGTACGGTGTGTATGAGCATCTGCTGTCTTGGTGTACGGTATGTATGGGCATCTGCTATCTGAGTGTACGGTCTGTATGGAGGGACACCACAACCCAGACGGGGTGTACAGTGTGTATGAGCATCTGCTGTCTTGGTGTACAGTATGTATGGGCATCTGCTGAGTGTATGGTGTTTATGGAGGGACACCACAACCCTCTTCAATGGGATTAGTTCTGAGTTGTGGAAGCCACCATGCCAGATAAATAGGCCGGCTCCTCCTCCATGATTCCCACAGCCGGATATGACCTTACATCCATCATTCCCAGCATGGAGCTCTGGAGAGTGGTGTGGAAGAGCCAGTGCTGTATAAAATGGGGCTCGTTTGCTCTCCGGGAACTCAGCGAAAGCACCATCACTAAATCGGTGCCTATAGACCGGCCGAGCCTTCATTGTACAGAGCCTGGAGCTGTCAGCTGACGTCATTTCTGGTATCAATTGTAGGTATTGGAGCATTTGCACAAATTCTGATACTCATGCAAATGCCTAGTATCGGTGCAACCTACCAAATATTGTAATCAGTTGGGATGGTGGCACAAGTTCCCCCATGTGTTTTGATATTGTAACCATGTGTAGACCTTGTGAACGTTTAATCGCACCTGGTAGTAGTTTTATTTATTATTATTTATTTCAGGTACTTATATAGCGCCGTCCATTTATGCAGCGCTTTACATATATATTGTACATTCACATCAGTCCCTAACCCTCAAGGGGCGTACAATCTAAGGTCCCTAACTCACATTCATATACTAGGGCCAATTTAGACAGGTGCCAATTAACCTACCAGCATGTCTTTGGAGTGTGGGAGAAAACTGGAGTATCCGGAGGAAACCCACGCAGGCACAGGGAGAACATGCAAACTCCAGGCAGGTGGTGCCGTGGCTGGGATTTGAACTGATGACCCTAGTACTGCCAGGCAGAAGTGCTAACCATTTAGCCACGGTGCTGCCCCTCCACTGCTCACTGCACCATGGCAAGGCATGGCAAGAAAATAGCATCATGGGCCCCTAGGTAAAATAATGCACTGGGGGCCTTACCAGCCTGCCATAACTTACTCACCTGCTCTCAAGAATTAAAGTTTAAATAGTTGATAGAATTAAACATGTATTTACTAGTCCTTTTATTAAAATCAATCAAGACTAATACCTGCCATCCTAGGACAGCAAAGTAAAAAGGGTGGCTGTCCCGGCAAATCCAGGACAGTTGGCAAGTATGACGTGATGCAAAATTATCATTGGGCCCCCATGCACCTGGAGCCCCTGGGCACTGCCCATGCATTAAGACAGCCCTGCACCATAAAGTTAATTTTTTTTTTACTGCTTTATTAATTGAGTCCTCTGGACAGAGTTCATTATGTAGACCAGGGTTTCTCAACCAGGGTTCCGTGGAACCCTAGGATTCCTCCAGAGGTTGCTAGGGGTTCCTTGAACAAAGAGCCTCTCAGATAGGTTCCTGCTTACACCATTGATATTTTTTGCTATCTATAAGAGGGTAATTCTTCCCAATGACCACAAGTGTAAGGAGCATTCTTCCCAATGACCACAAGTGTAAGGAGAATTCTTCCCAATGCCCAAAAGTGTGAGGAGCATTCTTCCCAATGACCACAAGTGTAAGGAGAATTCTTCCCAATGACCACAAGTGTAAGGAGAATTCTTCCCAATGACCACAAGTGTAAGGAGCATTCTTCCCAATGACCACAAGTGTAAGGAGAATTCTTCCCAATGCCCAAAAGTGTGAGGAGCATTCTTCCCAATGACCACAAGTGTAAGGAGCATTCTTCCCAAAGACCAAAAGTGTAAGGAGCATTCTTCGCACTGACCACAAGTGTAAGGAGCATTCTTCCCAATGACCACAAGTGTAAGGAGCATTCTTCCCACTGACCACAAGTGTGAGGAGCATTCTTCCCAATGACCACAAGTGTAAGGAGAGCATTCTTCCCAATGACCACAAGTGTGAGGAGCATTCTTCCCAATGACCAAAAGTGTAAGGATCATTCTTCCCAATGACCACAAGTGTGAGGAGCATTCTTCCCACTGACCATCCACGAATGTATCATGAGCTGTAGATACAGTCATTTTTAACAAGGGTTCCCCGAGACCAAAAAGTCATTTCATCATTTCAAGGGTTCCTCTGTGTTGAAAAGGCTGAGAAAGGCTGATGTAGATAGTGTGCATGAAATGTTCCATTTTGCATCAGTCTGGTACAGGGGCGGACTGACCCTTTGGAAACTGCCCGAGGGCCCGGGGTCAGTAGGGGCCCCATGAGATGCCCCTGGTACCTTTTTCATAGGCTTTTTTGAGTTTGGGCAAGGACACAGGGGCCCCATGATCCCCTATTGCCCGGGGGCCCCATGAGTTGTCAGTCCGCCCCTGGTCTGGTAAACCATTCATCATCTGGGTGGAGGCTGTAATGAATTGCAAAGCACGAGTAGAACAATTAATGTTTTCAAGTTGGACGGTGTCAGGTGTCTGCTGCTTTAAGTAATTCATTGAGTGTTAGAGAGATGGCCCATATAGAGAATATTCTGCATAGTTTTCTTACACTGTCCTAATCTCCAATATTATTCTTTTCCTGTGTCTTTCAGAGTCACCGATAACCCTCTGGCCCTTCCATATCTACTCCCAAATATTGTTTTATGACCCGCTCCACCTTTTTAACAAATGCCATAAGGCTAATGTAAAACTGAAAGCTATAGAAAACTGTTTTTTTCTAATTTGAAGTAATCCTATACATGCAGGGCAAAGTAACAGGCTCACTTGGCTATTTGCTGCCCGCTCACAGCACATTTTATTATTTATTACATGTACTTGCATAATGCAGTCAATTTACGCAGCACTTTACATATATATAGTGTGCATTCACATCAGTCCCTAACCCTCAAGGGGCGTACAATCTAAGGCCCCTAACTCACATTCATACATACACATACTAGGGACAATTTAGACAGCATCCAATTTACCTACCAGCATGTCTGTAGTGTGGGAGGAAACTGGAGTACCTGGAGGAAACCCACGCAGGCACAGGGAGAACATGTAAACTCCAACACAGTTAACACATTGACTGCCCTTTGATGTTAACCCCCCCCCCCTTCCCATCCAGTGTCATTAGTACAGTGTACAGCAGGGCTTGAAATTTCCACTCGCCTGCTCGCCAATGGCGAGTGGAAGTTATGGTGGAGGCGAGTGTGTCCCCCAGGGCCGTCTTGCTGAGCAGGCTCGGAGCTCATGCCGGAACTGTCATTGGCACTGGGAGCTGTCAGACTGCTCAATAGCTGAGCATAGTGAAAGCAAAGCAAGGAGTGTGTGCTGTGCTCTCTGCCTCCCCCTAGAGTGCAGTACCCGGCTCTGTAAGTGAACAACGAAGTACTGCAACTTTTTATGGGGTGTGTGTGTGTGTGTGTGTGTACGTGTACATGTGTGTGTGTGTGTTTGTATGCATGTACAATTGTACATGTGTCTGTGTGTATGTACATGTGTGTATCTGTACATATGTCTGTGTGTATGTACATGTATGTATGTGTGTGTACATGTATCTGTGTGTGTGTGCATGTACATGTGTATGCGTGTTTGTGTGTATGTGTGTATGTGTGTACATGTGTTTATGTGTGTCTGTGTGTACATGTGTCTGTGTATGTATGGATGTACATGTGTCTGTGTATGTATGTACATGTGTCTGTGCATGTGTATTTCTGTGTATGTACATGTATCTGTGTGTATGCGTGTCTGTACATGCCTGTGTGTGTATACATGTGTCTGTATGTGTGCGTACACGTTTCTGTGTGTATGTATGTACATGTCTGTGTGTGTGTACAGGTGTCTCTGTTTGTGTGTGTTTGTTGGTGGCGAGTAACTCTAAGGCCTGGCTAGTAGCTCAGGACTTGAAATTTGAAGCCCTGGTGTACAGTATTATATCTGATATCTTTAATCACTGTATTAGTGTCACTGTTGATGTCAGTTAATCAGTTAGTGTCAGTAAGCGCCAGATTGCCTACCACACTATCACAGTCCTACTATAAGTCGCTGATCGTTACCAGTATAGCATCTATAGCTGCATAAATTCCAGTATATATACAGTACCATAGTTTGTAGATGCTATAGCTTTCACACAAACAAATTAATAAACACTTACTTTTTTGTTTAACCAGGAACATGGTGTAAATTTATGAAGAAATTGTATTTCTTTATTTAATATGTTTTCTAGCAGAAAGTAGAAAATATAAATTTTTTCTAAATTGTTAGTCTATTTTAGTTTATATATTAAAAAATACCACTAAAAGACAGTTCTATTTGTGTGAAAAAAATTATATAAACTTAATTTGGGTTCAGTGTTGCACGACCAAGCAGTTGCCAGTTCAGGTAGTGCAGTGCTGAATAGCAAAAAAATGCCCTGGGTGGCAAAACCTTACCGAGGTGGTTAAAAAAAAGCAAGGTAATAGTTGAAAGGAGAAGGGAAAGAAGGAGTTAAACAGGGGATGATAAGAGGTTAATTAACCAAATTGTATTTAACAATTTATATATTTATTTTACTAGACAGGTTGCTTTAACTAACAGCATCTGCAGATGGAAGTTTACTTTTCTATCACAACCAGCATTAACTTTTTCCGTAATTTGAGCTCCAGTAGCTCTTCTACTGGATCGGCCAGCCTTCACTAACCAGATGCATCAAGGAGCATTGGCTGCCCATGACCCACTTGCCAATTTGTCGGTTTTCCTTTTTTGGATCCCCTTTGATCGGTCCTGACCACTGCAGACTGGGAACATCCCACAAGAGCTGCAGTTTGGAGTTGCTCTGACCCAGTGGTCTCACCATTTTAATTTGGCCCGTGTCAAAATCACTCAAATCCTTAAATTTGCTCATTTTTTGTGCTTTCAACAAACCAACTTCAGGGATAACATGTTCACTTGCTGCCTAATATATCCCACCCACTTTCAGGAGCCATTGTAACCAGATAATCAATGTTGTTCTTCTTACCTGTCAGTTGTCATAATGTTATGGCTATTCAGTGTATATCTAGGGCTGCCACCCGTCCGGGATTCACCCGGACTGTCCAGGTTTTAAATCATGTGTCCATTTTTAGGTCTGCCTAAAAATTGGACACATTATTCAGATCAGACTGTGGCTCCCAAAGATAGCTGGAGAGAGGATTAGACAATCTCCTCCCACCAGCCTACAGGGGGCGATAGAGAGCCAGCACAGAGAACTCCCCTCAGTGCAGGACTACTAAGGAATGAGGGCAGACTGTCCTTCCTCTTCTCTTCCCTTGTCATGTGACTTATCACATGACTGGAGAGAGGAAGGAGGAGCTGCCTTTTGTAGAGTGTGTGGTATGTGAGTACAGGGGGAAGGGGGGGACAACTCTGATGTGTGGATATACAATATGTAAAGAGGCGCTCTACTGGGGACACCAGATGTAAGGAGGCGTTTTGATGGGGACACCTGATTTAGAGAAGCACTTTACTGGGGGCACCAGATGTAAGGAGGTGTTCTGATGGGGACACCTGATTTAGAGAGGCACTTTACTGGGGGCACCAGATGTAAGGAGGCGTTCTGATGGGGACACCTGATTTAGAGAGGCACTTTATTGGGGGCACCAGATGTAAGGAGGCGTTCTGATGGGGACACCTGATTTAGAGAGGCACTCTACTGGGGACACCAGATGTAAGAAGGCACTCTGATGGAGACACCAGATGTAAGGAGGCACTCTGATGGGGACACCTGATTTAGAGAGGCACTCTGTTGGGGACATAGATGTAAGGAGGCACTTTGATGGGGACACCTGATTTAGAGAGGCACTCTATTGGGGACACCAGATGTAAGAACTCTGATGGGGACACCTGATGTAAGGAGGCACTCTACTGGGGACACATGATGTAAGGAGGCATTCTGAAGGGGACACCAGATGTAAGGGGGTATTCTGATGGGGGCAACTGATCTAAGGGGGTACTCTGATGGGGACACATTATGTAATGTGGTTTTTATTTGTTTTACTTGAAATATGGATGTGATTGGCCTACTTTTATGCTCTAACAGACAGCAATTTGGACCTCAGCTGGAAGAAACCTGACCTCCTTAAATTTGAATTCATTACCCCTGCCCAAGGTAGACATTTGTGCGTTGTAGGAATGTGAGCAAAATTGCATGCATTCCTGCAATGCACAAAAACATACAGCCCATTTGCAGGTGTGCAGTGGTGCCATTAAGTCTTAATGGCACAACCACACACTGTGCTTTTTCGCTCATTTACCTGTTGCAAAACGTATGTTAAGAAAGTATCATGTGTTTTGGTGTAGCACGATTTTAAAAAAGGTTATACAGGTTTTATCTATTTGTACTACATTTTGTTTTTCATTTAGGAGGACCAGAAAGGGAAAAAATAAGAAAAAAATGCTTGGGTCCATGGGGTTCACCATGGTGGGTCCAGCCCTGTCTTCATGGTAGATTCAGCAAATCAACAGGGCTAGAACCTCCATGGTGGTCCTCATGGTAGATTCAACCCATTGACAGGACTAGATGTACCATGGTGGTCCTCATGGTAGATCCAGGCCATCAACATGGCTAGATCTACTATGGTGATCCTCATGGCAGATTCAGCCCAACGACATGGCTAGATCTACCATGGAGATCTTCATGGTAGATCTAGCCCATTAACATGGCTGGATATACCATTTGTCCAATGAACCAGTTATTTTCATTGAAGAGGAATGATTGACCCCAGTGGAATATCCAAATGAATTTGACCAAAACAATTTTGTTTTCCTGTGTTTTCTCATTGTTTTAGAACAAAGGAGTGTTTAATGTGATTGATTCTATGTAATAAGTAATCATTTGTGATGTACTGTATGTCCAACACTGGATGAAATATGGATCCTCCAGGGGAAAAGTCAACCAGCCAGCCTCTTAGAATTCACAGAAGGCATGATTAAAATCCTTCAAAATCTCTCAATTCCAACCACCAAAAAGGTACACATAATCAATTGCTATAAGATTAAAAAGAATAAGCTATGTGTCAGGAATGGACTCGCCAATGGTGGTGGGACTCACCTGCCTTGTGGGCTGCAGTACCAGGGCTAGCCAGCGGGTGCTCTCAGCAACCAGAAGCTCACTCCTGCAGTCAGCCATCACCTGAGGCTGATTGCAGGAGGTTTTGTTTAAGGAATGGCCAGACCTGCAGTCAGTGCCTTGTTGTACTGTTTCGCTTGGCCCCGGTATCCTGATCCTGCTTGCTTCTACCCTGATTCTGCACGAACTCTGCCTGTACTGACCTCGGCTAGTCCTGACCACTCTCCCGCCTGCTCCTGGTACCTTGTTTGCCCGTTTGTTACCGACCCGGGCCTGCCTGACTACGTTTAGTGCTGTATGTATGGTTGTTTGTTGAAGGTTTGGTTTTTGCACTGTGTTATGTTTTGCACTGCATTTATGTATTGTTAGGCTTTAATAAATTGTATTGTTATACAATACCTGAAGCCTGCGTTTCCCTGTGTCAGTCCACACACTTCTGGTCATACCCAGATTCCTGACGCTATGATTACATACTTACATAACTGAATTGGAGTAGAGCATTGGGAGACTTTTTATTCCAATTATAGCAGCAAAAAAAACCTTGAGGGGGTTCACACTATGATGCTTAGTCATTAGACCTAGTTATATAGGTTGAAAAATTACACATGTTCATTGTGTTCAACCCATAAAAGCCATAAAACTTGCATTGTCAGAACTTTAAACCTGCAAAGCTGGGGAAAAGCAAAATTCCATATATATAGGGATGTGCTGGGGATGGATGCTGCCTAAGGTGGTCTTCTGCACCATAACAATCAACAATGTTGTGGGGACCTGAAGCTGAACATACACTGGACTGAACATGCATTGAGAATGGAGGGTCTGGTGTGGATGATTGGCCTCAGTGCTACTCCTGCTGGGCCTCCATGAATGCCGCCTTGGGCAGAGTGATGCAAATATCAAAATGCCTTGATAGATGGATGTAAATCTGGAGGAGTGGGTGTTCCTAGGCAGGCTACATTTGCATGCAGGCTACCGTAGGTAGCGGCCATATGTGATGCTGAGCCTCCATAATTGAAAGAATGGAAATCCAATGAATGAAATGGGCGGACCTTAGATGATGATGATATATTTAAAGTCTTTACAATTTTCACATTGAGGAACATTATTCTGAAATTGTTCAACAAATTTTTAGATGCAACTTTCCACAGATTGGTGACCCTCTGCCCATCTTTACTTGCCTGCCTCGCCGCTGGCTATCCCCGCTTCAGTCGATCCTGAATACGGCTGCCAGACTCATTCACCTTTCCAACCGCTTCATCTCCGCCACCCCCCTCTGCCAATCCCTCCACTGGCTTCCGATTGCACAACGGATCAAATTCAAAATCCTAACACTGACGTACAAAGCTGTCCACCATACTGCCCCGAACTACATCACTGACCTAATATCCAAGTACCGCCCAACACACACACTCCGATCCTCACAAGACCTCCTTCTCTCTAGTTCCCTGGTCTCCTCCTCCCATGCCCGCCTCCAGGACTTCTCCAGGGTGTCACCCATCCTCTGGAACTCCCTGCCGAACCCATCAGATTATCACCTACTCTCCTCTCCTTTAGGCGCACCCTGAAAACCCATCTCTTCAGGGAAGCCTACCCCACCCCCTGCTAACCTGCCGACCTCCTCCAGTCTTCCTACCACTCCATCCCCCACAGCTATCTCCTCCTGTGCCACCATCCCCTCCCTCCTAGATTGTAAGCTCCAAAGAGCAGGGCCCTCGATCCCCTCATGTTTTGCATTGTATTGGTATTGTTCTGTCACATGTTCTGTCTCCCTTTGTAATGTAC